CATATATCATATATATATATATACATATGAATGGCAGGACAGGGGGATCGCCGTTTGCTTACATCACTTTTGCCGACAGTTCGTTTGTACACAAAAATTATTACCTACAGCTCGATTATCTACATGCACTTTTGCGCACAAATAAAAATTTTAGAAACAGAATTACATTTGTCTACATGTATTATTGTCTACAGCTTGCCTACATGTACTATTCTCTGTTTTAAAAATAGAAATTCTGTTTTTAAACACAAATTTTCTGCTTTAAAAACACAAATTCTCTGTTTTAAAACAAATTCTCTACTTTAAAACACAAACTCTGCTTTGAAAATACAAATTATTTTCTTACTTAACTTTAATTTTATATTTGTGCGCAATCAAGCTGTAGGCAATAATACTTGTAAGATAGGCAATAACACATGTAGGTAAATGTAACTTTATTTCAGAAATTTTTATTTGTGTGCACAAATGCATGTAAGCAATCGAGCTGTAGACAAACGATACAGAAGGCAATCGATTTGTTGGCAAAAGGAGCCATCTCATATATTAAAATTATAACAGTTAATTTCTATATAAATTATATATATATATTAATAACACAATTTTGAGATACAATCAATAAGGCACGAATTCTGACTAAAATAAATATTATAATTTATTGCCAGAATTAAAAAAAAATCAATTTAAAAAGATTAATATAAAAGCTGAAGGAGTAAAAAGATCGTATACACAATTACTTTGCTGCTATAAAAATTAGATATATATTTTTTACATAAAAAATATTCAAATTGGTAAATTATAAAATTTATTATTCGTTTTTATATAAATTTCAAAGAAAAGATTTTAGAAAAGAACATTGCTGTTCGCTGTTGCTTAATTATGTTGAAAATGTAAATATTATTAAGAAAAAAGCACACTAAAAATATCGGATACTTTAGTATGGAAAATATATGCTTTTAATATGGAAAATACATGCTTATCCATAAATCATATAGATAATTTAATGCTACATGCGAAACCAGTTATAATAACAAGTTCTGCTGGGTTCTACATCACCTTTGTCTTACTAAATTAATGAAATATATTTATGTTGGGATATACGCGACTTATTAATTCTTACAATTAGTTAAAGGCAGTAAAGCTGCATTCAATTTTTCATAATGTAATATTTGCATCTGTTAAAGGTGTATATATAATTAAAAAACATTATTTATCTCAAATTTATTAATCTTCCACATATACAGAGAACTCTGAAAAATATTTGAATCTAAATACAAACACGGCGCATTCGATTAGGAAATTCGTAGTCATTAATGACAGCGAATGTATAATTATTGCACAATTACAAGTGTATGAGCTGTCCGACTTGGTGTACACTGTATTTCATACAAATTACAGTTTCGACATTCGTCACATTTTACAACCTGTGCGGCTGGTATCTGACTGTTATCTATTACTGTTATCTATTACTAGTTATCTGACTAGAGAAACTGCAGACACGAAATATATGTGTAACGAAATACACATTCCTTCTTTGAGATCTCAGATTTTTGTTGTTCTTTCGTCTTATCATCGCATTAATGAGCACAAAATATTATCCTCAAGCTTAATCTATCTTTTTGGTCAAAAAGGCAAGAGACAAAAAACAAGAAACAGGAAACAAAGAGCACATTGTTGAAATAAAGTGAGACTAATGGTTACATTTGTACATTTTTGTCATATGACAAATTTCTTAGTTAATTAACTATAGAAGAGATTCAGAATCTCTTTGTCCTGCAATCAATTAAGAATCATGGCACACAAAGAAACTTAAACAGTAAAACGTAAACAGCAAGCGATTTACAAATTAATTAATTAATTAGCCAATCACAGTAGAGACTGTAAAGTCGTAACGTAAACAGTAGCAAATCCAACATATTGTTTACGACTTACTGCTTAATTTGTTTATATATAGGATTATTATATCTGAAAAATCACACAAGATATATACATTTTAAAAAACAATAATAAATCCGGAGGCGGAAAGAGGTGATAGAATTATTTTAAGCATTAAATGTAGATGTTTAATAAAATAAAATTTCTAGAACATAATTTTTATTAACAATTCTGATTAATATAATTTTGTAAATATAAAATTTTAATTAATGAAGTTTTACCTCAAAAATAGTACTGCTGGTAATTCTATTTGTGTGCTACACAGAGAAAAAGATTTCTTTGAATTTAATAAAAAAATCTTATTGTATCCAAATAAATTTGTTATTTAGAATGATCTAAACAAACTAATGTTTGAATCAATAAGTGCAATTGTTTGAATTTGAAGCAATGTATATCTTTGTCTTAAATATATTATTTATTTGAATAGATATCTAGCTTCAGCATTCGCGTGATGAAACTATACGACACAAACATAATTAATATAGCACATAATACTGCTCGTTTAATCTCGTTACTATATGTATAAGCCATTATTTTCGTAATTTCAGCCAAAAAATGTAATGGTTGTTCTAAGAAAGCAATTATTTACATGAAACAATCTCTATCAATATATTTCGCCATTTTCAAATAAATAATTTGTTTCATTGTTTGTATTTATTGTAGCCAAATAATATATTATTTGAGTGAAAAATATTAATTCAAATAATAATGTTATTTCTGCCAAGCAATAGAGATATTCTCAAATGAAACAACAAAATTTTTATTCAAACAAATAATAATATTTTGTACAAGCGTATGTTGTTTTAATAAAACAAATTTTAATCAAATAAATTGTGTGTGGAATACTAATAAATCCAAAGAAACCTTTTTCTCTATGATATGATTCAAACTGAAGAATGTGTCTTATAAGAAAAACGGACAAATGTATTATAATATAGCTCGTAACGATCATTTGAAGAAAGTATCTAATACAAAAAAGTACATCTACGGAAGCATTGCGTAAAGCATGACATGTTTTTCACTTGGCAAAAAAAAAAAAGAAAAAAGCTTGCATTTTTTGCATTCCGAATTTTCACTTTTTCTCAGTACTTGCATTCTTAAAAACTCTTAAGAGTGAATTATCATTCTTAAAGAATAAAATCTCACTCTTAAAGTTTGAAAATTGAGCCACTCTTTTTCAAGACCAACTTAATTTTTTCACTCTTTAGAAATAGATTCCACTCTAAAGAATTTGAAGAGAATTTATCTCGCGCAAAAATTTGTGGGAATCAAACAACGCGAACAAGATTCAATCTAAACATAATACCACAGCTTTCGTGTAGACTGTAGATAGAACACTTCGAAGTGAAACACACTTACGAACGCACGCAAGTTTCGCGATCCATTGTTCATCGAGCGGCTTCTTGCACGCAGATCGTTTTATTGTGGAAAAGTTTCGTCAAGGCCTTGTCATACGTGGCCAGGATTATGTTGCAAGATTCAAGCGCGATTTTATTTAGCTCGCCCGACGATATTGCTCCAAAAAGCTTGGCTAATCGACTTCGCGAGCCGCCATACGAGCGAAAACAAATTTTCGACTCATGTGGTATGCGATATCCACCGTACGTACTCGGCGCAAAAATGTGGTCTCGCGCGACTTGCCGCGGGATGCGGTTCTAACGAAAGGAACGAGACTTGAAAATTGGACAAACACGTTTCGACATCGAGCAATGAAGTAGGTAGATACATTAGAATGAGGAAATCTTGCAACTTACCTGGCAGGATCCACGTTCGGCATGTCCCCGTAGTTCATCTTGCCTACGTCAGCGTAATCTGCGAGTGCACGCGCACCTGGCTCTCACTGATGACAGGTGAGAAAGAGAGAGAGAGGAAACGACCGCGTGCCGACTGCGAGAGCTCCGAAAAGATGACAGACCGCAATAGCCGGGTGAAAGGGAGAGAAACGAACGGATCAATTCGCAACTCGCCGCTTAGTACCTCTGTGTGAGAACGAGGGTGAAAATCTCGATTGTCGTTCACAAGCGACGCCGTATGAAGCTGGACGAGCGTGGAATCACACTTATACGGAGCATCGCCGATCGGAACTGGTAGAAACTGCAGCGGCAACCGCGCCGTACCTCATGTAATGGCCAATTACTTTCTCTCTCTCTCTCTCTCTCTCTCCGTTTCATCAGCCGCGCGATTCGCGCGCCAAGTCCGACGAACTCTGATAAGGACTCCGGTCCCGTGTCTTTATCACGCCACGCCACGCGTTGCATTCACGCGTTAATGAGATGGACGAGATGGACGATGCACACGGAAATCACACCTCTCCAGTCTCCCGGTCTCGATACAGATCACGCAGCCGAACGGTGACAACGACGACGACAGTGGCGGCAGTGGCAGCACCCGCACCGCACCACACCGCGCGACCAGCTGGTCGTAACCCCCCACCACCGCTCTCATGTCGGACCACAATCCGCGAGCGCGATTGGCTGTCGAGAAACCACGCGAGCTCCTCGTTTCCTCTCCGTCGGCATCGACGCCTTTTTCGCCCCTTTTCCACGTACAGCTCGATTCATGTCATATTATCAGTAATTATATCAGTACGGCAACCGTCAGCGAATGAGTTTCGACGTTGGATCGGCAGAACGATATTTAGCTGTAATTGATATATTGATATTGATATTCGTGCTAATCGTTATCGACGTGAGCCGGCATCGATAATAATTAACGTAATAGAGGTGAAGTAACGATCGATATATGATCTTGACACGGTCTTGATATGATACTCGTAATACCCGATAAATACGTAACAATACATCTCAGAGAACAGGAGTCCAAATTCGAGACATGAGACAGCTTATAAGACGTCTGAAAGACATCTTTGCAGATATTTTTTAACTGTCTAAAAGAGAAATCTAATCCCCATTTCTACCAATGTAGTTCAATTCTAATCTTTTGGTTCAACAAACTCTTCTTTTTCTTATTTTAAAAATTAGAAAAAATGAAGAGC